ATGCATTGGTGCGTGACGACGGACTGTCCGCATCGGAGAGAGAGAGAGAGAGAGAGAGAGAGAGAGAGAGAGAGAGAGAGAGAGAGAGAGAGAGAGAGAGTTGAGGTCGATGGACGCGGATTGACTGTTTCTTTGTCTTTTCCCTCTCTTCATCTGTGTACATACATTTTGATTGCGGCTCCAGGCGGTTTGTCCATTCTTATTTTCGGTTCGGCTTTCTGGAATCTGGACTTGGATTTTTTGCTCACACTTGTCCTTGCGATGTCTGTCCCGATCTCATTATGTGTATGATTGCCGAATGTATGGATGTATGAATGTTATGCCTACTTGTCTATCTTTTTGCTAAAAATCCCTGTCCTTGCCTTTTTTGTTTGTGTCAAATCTTTGCTTGAACCTGATACAGCTGTAGATGGGATGAGAATCTGACCCCGATAGCGATTTCGTTCTCGTTTTTGCTTGTCTCACGATCAGGTTGTGATATGGTTGCATCTTGCATAATCGAAACTTACGAAGCAATTAGACGATCCGAAGTCTGGCCCCATGAGGCGCAACTAAGTTCGCCTGTCCTGCACGTGCTCGTGCGTGGTGATGATAACCCGACCAGAGCTATCTGATTTACGATGATACCATGATGCGATCTTGGAACTCAGACTCATCCTACGACCCGGATTATTTCACCCCTTGGATAAACGAACTCATAAGGCTGCGATACCCCTGTCACACGGAGAATCGACTATGTCCACGAGAATTCCACTGCGCTACCTCTAGCTACCCTCGGTGCTCTGATTTCCCTTCCCTCGACCACAAGTACTACTTCACCCACCCGGGATTTGTTATCATCACCACCAGTTTCCCTCCTTTCCGCCCTCTTCTTCCGTATCATCAACTCAGCGTCGTTCCGTGGCCGGCCATAGCCCCCTATTGGCCCAGTACGTTTTGTGTGAATTGCCGACGTAGCGGCGGACGGAGAACTCCGGAATTCCGAGGGCCCAATCCAAGTACGCGGCGGCCCGCGCCACGTGGAGGCCCCCGACGGCCTAACTTTTCGGGACCGCCTTCACCGTGGAGGGATTTCCCCGTAGACGGTCGCCCATAGTGCCCCGGCCCCATCGGACCCTGAGTCCTTCGCGCATGCGCCCCTTATTCGCCCAATTGCATTCATACCCTTAAGACTCCCCCACTTCCCCAAAAATCCTTGGCACACCCCTTTTCGCACTTCCAGACCCATATCCCACTCCGATGAGGAAGTTGCGCTGGGCGTGAGGTTGGTATCGGAGCCCGACACGTGGCTAGGGTCTTAGGATTGATAGCACG